TGTATATAAAGTACAACAAAGATGCCAGGAAATGTCCAACAAACTGTGTATTTATTTTCCTGTATATAAAGTACAACAAAGACACCAGGAAATGTCCAACAAACTGTGTATTTATTTTCCTGTATATAAAGTACAACAAAGACACCAGGAAATGTCCAACAAACTGTGTATTTATTTTCCTGTATATAAAGTACAACAAAGACACCAGGAAATGTCCAACAAACTGTGTATTTATTTTCCTGTATATAAAGTACAACAAAGATGCCAGGAAAGAAAATAATAGCCCACAGATAATAAAATATACTATAACATTCAGATACAGCCTGTAAAAAAGGTTCAAATTTTGAAACTACGAGTCAAAATGTCAACGTACTGAATTTCGTGTCTGTGACATTATATGCAGAATCCATCAGTCCAGATGGGGACCTTTTATTGTGGCATTCAAATAAGTTTTCTAAACATCATGACTGGGGCACATGAAACTACCTTGTCAAGTCAAGTTAAAACATGAGCAGATATTTCCATATGACTACAAGCACTTCCACATTGTTTATGTCTACAGAGTTCCAAAGTTGTTACCTGCTTAGCAAAATGTGACTATGATCAGAGGAGTAGTAATTTTGTTCAGGTCACTGAAGTTTTGTCAGAATCAGCATAGTTAAAGTCGATCATTGTTTGTAGTAATTTTAATGTTAGAATTGGTGTTTCTGAATAAGGGATGTTCTTTCATTATAGATTTAGGTAGGCTTAGTTGCATCTTTGAAAAAGACAGTGTCATGGCCACCACATTTCCATATTGCTTTTTTTGCATTATAAGAGCTGCATTTAAGTTAGGATTTAGTAATAGCTTTTGTATTTGTACTTAAAATTTGTTCACATGCAGTAAGTACTATGCTACTTTGATTACACCTGCTGGTCTATAGCTTTTGGTAATGCTAATATTCAAGACATGAAAATACATTATCTCTGTTATCTTGTGTTATATGTGGAACTGTTTGACACAAATACACATTTTCTCTCCAAACATTTATTTAGTTTGCTTCTATTTACACTTTTTACAAAGGCATGGATTTTCCAGCATCACTTGTAATGTTTTATTTTAATTTATGTGCATATTTTTAGATTAATTGCCATCTTACTTTGGATTTAGTGTCCAAGCTACATGCATAACAGATGTGGGTTTTAAACAATATGGTTAAATAACATATACTATTGATACTTCACATGTGTATGCCTGACTAATGAATACTGGAAGATAGTACAGATTAAATAAATAATAAAATGTTTTCAGAATTTTTAAGTAGGAAACAAGTTAATTTTGTATATGTTCTGCACACAAGTTTCCAATTATGTATGATCATTATATGTCAAGTAACTCCTTTATGTCAAGTTTCACAGAACTTTTCAGTTATAAATGCTGTGAAATTAAATATTCTGTATTGTTGTGCTTTTTTGTGCCTTTATCCATTTGTAATTTGTGCATAAAGAGGGCACTAAGTTATATGCTGAAATTTTTCAGTGTGCTGATTTTCTCTACATATTTAAGTCAAAAATATGATTCTCTTAGTTTACTTTTATAAATATTCATTAAATATCAAAGGTATGCAACCAGTGCATAAAAAATGTTGTTTACATATTTTCAATTTTTTGTCATATATGTGATACTTTTGGGACACATGATTTCAGTCAAGTGCATATAATCAATCCATGCACTCAGATGAGTAGATTAGTCAGGTAGAATGGTCACCCCATACTTAGCTCCATATTGGTATCTTATTAGGACCAGTTTAGTGTCATGCTCTCAGTGTACTTCACAATGACTGCATTTAAATGTACAGTTCACAGTTAACTTGCATTGAAAGCTGGCAATGATAGCACCAGATAGCTGTAAATGGGTTTAAAAATGCAGTCCTTATTTACATACAAATGAATATATCTATAAACAGCTTTTTGTCAATATTTAAATCCCTCCCGACCAAAAGAAAAAGAAAGCACAAAAAATGGGTTGACCTGTCTGCCCCAATTTTTTTTTCCTGTGTAACCAGAACCATATATTTTTATAAATTTGGCCTTATATTAACATTTACCAAAATACAGAATAAATATTTATTCATTTATTTACATCATCATCATCATCATTATTATTCTTTCAAATTAGTGACCATGAGATAAACATTTTAAATTTCTTTTCTCAAGAGAGTCAAGATTATGTGATGAATCAGCAGATGTAAGAATACTTAATTAAATTTAATTGATGATGATGCATTTGGTATACTAACATACTCAACTGCTGGTAATTAGTGTATATCAATTTGTCTTCATACATGTATCAATTGATGTAAGAATGCTAAATTGAATTTAATTGATAATGATGCATTTGGTATACTAACATACTCAACTGCTTGTAATTAGTGGTATATTGATTTGTTATTCACACATGTGTCAACTGATGCATGAATGCTTAATTAAATTTAATTAATTATATTGACATACTCAATTGCTTGCACTTAGTATATACTGATTTGTCAATTCATATATGTATCAGTTAAGGTAAGAATGCTTAATTAAATTTAATTAATTATAATGCATTTGGTATACAGTGTACAAACATATTCAACTGCTTGCATCTTGGGTATATTGATTTGGTTGTATGTTCATGCATCCATTTGAAGATTGCTAGCATAATGACTCAAATTACACTTGATATTGATAAATAAAATCTTGTATCCTTATGTACTTAACATTGTTCTTTTTTATGCAATTTTAATGATTGGTGACTTTTTGTATCCAGTCATTGGCATGTAGTTTTGTTTGTCAGTCCATGACATGATAGTTCCGTTTTGCATTTATAGCACTTTTCTTAGGCACTGTAAGTCCTGTTGCTAAGCATCTTCCAGACATATTTTGATAATTAACACAAATATCACCCAAAAGTAGGTCACTGTCACCTAACATTCACCTTGTGACTTGGGTTATGTTATGCATTTATGTCAGTTTCACAAGTGTAGATTGCTTCAAAGACATGCAGCTTGATTTATAAAAGTCATTTGGTAAATATAATATCACCTAAACAAAAGTAGGATAATGTGAATTGGGTTAGATTTTGCATTTGTGTCGATATTTCTTGCATCATGTGAACCAGAGATATGCAGCTTTCTCTGTAGATGCAGCTTGGTGAATGCAAAATCACCTGCCAAATTAAGGTTATTGTGCCCTAATTTTCACTCTCAAAACAGTTTGAGTTAGGTCAGTTTTTCTGGCATTGTTTTTCCAGGAGACATATCGCCTGGTATATGTATGCATGTTAGTAGATGTAAGATCATTTTAGCAAAAGGTTGTCACTATCATAAATTTGGCTTTTTGGTTTGATTTGGTGCTTAATGCCACATAAACACAAGCAGATTATTTAGTGCCAGGATAATTAGAGTAGAGTGCCTTTCCCGAGGACATACCATGGTAGCTGACCCTGACTCATCCAACGAATGTATTTGAACCAGCAACATTTGTCATGAGTCCTGCACACTAAACACTGAGTCACTTCAGCTCATTTAGAGTTGGGTCATAGTGACTCAGGATGCTTATACATTTAGGTCAGTTCTTCAGACAGTATTGTCATGCATCTTGATATGTGAAAAGTAGGTCACAGTGACCTGTGGCTTTGGTTCAAGATTTATCCTTAGGTTAATGCCATCATTGACCAAAGAGGTATTATTACTGGATGGCTTGGTGTATACAATAACTCCCTTACAAAACTGGTCACCATGATGTCCATTTCATGCTGGAATGGCCAATTTTTGTATTGGTCAGTTTTGCAGGCATTATTTGCCCAAGAATTATGCAACATGGTTGTTCATGTGACTTGTTGCATGCAGCACTATCTTGACAAAAGTAAACCACCACAAACACACTTCAGGCTTTATCAAATGTGGTTAAGTGAATTATTTAGGTCAGGCATTATTCTCTACACATTCATGCAGTTAAAGGGGGGCATCTAAGTACAGCACCATCATACCAACATTAGGTCACTGATCTCTATTGATCACCTCACTGGTTTGTGACTCAGTTTTTCATGTGTATTTTGTAACAACGAAAAACAGAAGTTGCTTTATTGGGCATTTCACCACAGGGTTGTACAACAGTGGAATGGCAGTGATGTATAATGAAGGATAGTGGTGAGTTTGTAGAAAAGGAGAGAAGGGAGAGAACTTGTACAGAAGGGAATTTTTGGAGAGTGGGGTAAACTTAAGGGAATGGAGAGGTATGGTGGTTGTATAGGAGGGGATTGGTAGTACATTTGGGTTCTATGAATAAATTCTTGTTTGTTTTACTCTACAGCTTTTATATCTTTCAAACATCTAATTATTAGTACAAATACTTATCTGTCTTTTATTCATTCTTTCTCTTTCTCATATAACTAACATTAAAGAGTCTTTTTTTTTGTTTTAAAAACTTTTACCAGAAACATTCAGTACTTACTTTTGGTGTTGGTTTTTCTCCCCTTTTTATTTATCTAAAATTCAATATTGGTTGAGCACTGTCCTAAATAAGTGAGTCATCGTTAGTGCTGTTATTATCATTTCCAGTAAAGGATTAAGTTTATATAATCAGTCTTATAATTTGTCTCAAACTAAGCAAGAGATAGCCATGTTGTAAGGTCAGGAATTATTTCCTGGAATGATTGATTAATTAAATATTTAATGTTAGCTCTATTTATGTCTTTAGCTGTAAGTTGTTGACAATTTGACAAATAATTTACCACTAAAGAAATCCCATTATATGTATGAATTTATTTGAGATCTGTAGATTGTTAGGGTCAAATAGATTTGCTTTGGCTTGGGTTTTATGACACACCAATACAAAGTAGATTATTTGATGCCAAGGCAATCTGAGTAAATGCCCTGCCCAGGTACACACCATGGTAGATTATCTGGCTTCATCTGATTCAGGTTTCAAATCCTGTACCATTTTGATCATGAGTCCAACGTGTTAACCGCTACTCTGGTGGCCTAGTGGTTTGAGTGTCCACCTTGGATGCATAAGACCATGGGTTCAAACCCTAGCTGAATCATGTCAAAGACTTACTAACAGATGCCTTACTAAGCACTCATCCTTAAGAAAGTGTTGGTGTTAGGACTGGTCAACCTGGTGTCAGGATAATGTGACTGGGTGGAACATTATGCTACTTGTCTATGGCATGATGCTCCAGTGCTAGATATAAACTACCATACTGCAGACATCATAGCAATATGACTTAAAAATTGTTAAAGCTATTTTAAAAATCCAAATCATTGACACATTCTTTAATCATGTTGTGCTACATGCACACAATGGACTTATTAAGCATTGGGTAATGCATGAACTATCGCATTAGGCCTATTAATATTCGGTAATGAGGTCTCACAATGGAGCTATTAAACATTCTGTAATGTAAAAGCTATTACATTGGACCCGTTATTCAATCTGTAATGTGTGAGAACTACCATACTGGGCCCATTCAACATCTGAAATGTGTGAGGTTTGTACAATTGGTGACCTTTCACCAATATATCATTATTTTTATTAGTTCACTATTAACTTCAGTGTTCCTTAAATTATTGAGGTTTTTTTTATTAATTTAAACATGTTCTGCTATACATTTTTTTGAAAATGTTTAGATGTGGATAGGAAATTTAAGATTTTACAACCTTCACTGCTTGTAATGTCTACATCTTAATTTTGTGCTGTTTGTATGTAAATATGTAAATATTTCATATACGTATGTTAATTGCAGGAAGTTTGATAAGCACAATTAGGAAAAAAATCATTTGATTTGACATGATGAAATCAAATGTGGCATGATTGGTTCAAATCACATGTAATTAACTTGATTTTCACACTGTTTACTTAATTTTCATGCAATTTCAGTTGTTTTGTCTTTGCCCATTTAAGTAGAGTTCCTTTTGGTATGGTTATGCATTATTCTGATTAAAATAAGATTTACATTGTTCTTTGTGAAGATCTGACAGCAACTGCTGGTGACCTTTGAACTTTGAGAAATCAGAAAGTGAATCAAATCCTTAGACACACATTGGTGCCCTTCAGGAATACTATGTAGTCTCCCAAATGTGAAAGTACAAGACTTTATCTGATTGCTGATACAGTCATCAATCATGGTAATAACACAGATCATCAGAATATGACCCCTAAGCATTGGTGTTAGATCTTCATGTCATACATTGGAGATCTTAATTAACAAGATTGGGTTCTGCAAAAAGCATTTTGTGTAGAAAATGAAATTGAATGGGTTTGTTTCTGTGGCTGTATATGTCCTTATTAACATAGTCATGCAAAAAGCATTTTGTGTAGAAAATGAAATTGAATGGGTTTGTTTCTGTGGCTGTATATGTCCTTATTAACATAGTCATGCAAAAAGCATTTTGTGTAGAAAATGAAATTGAGTAGGCTTGTTTCTGTGGCTGTATATGTCCTTATTAACATAGTCATGCAAAAAGCATTTTGTGTAGAAAATGAAATTGAATGGGTTTGTTTCTGTGACTGTATATGTCCTTATTAACATAGTCATGCAAAAAGCATTTTGTGTAGAAAATGAAATTGAATGGGCTTGTTTCTGTGACTGTATATGTCCTTATTAACATAGTCATGCAAAAAGCATTTTGTGTAGAAAATGAAATTGAATGGGTTTGTTTCTGTGACTGTATATGTCCTTATTAACATAGTCATGCAAAAAGCATTTTGTGTAGAAAATGAAATTGAATGGGTTTGTTTCTGTGGCTGTATATGTCCTTATAAACATAGTCATGCAAAAAGCATATTGTGTAGAAAATGAAATTGAATGGGTTTGTTTCTGTGACTGTATATGTCCTTATAAACATAGTCATGCAAAAAACATTTTGTGAAGATAATGAAATTGAATGGGTTTGTTTCTGTGACTGTATATGTCCTTATTAACATAGTCATGCAAAAAGCATTTTGTGTAGAAAATGAAATTGAATGGGTTTGTTTCTGTGGCTGTATATGTCCTTATAAACATAGTCATGCAAAAAGCATATTGTGTAGAAAATGAAATTGAATGGGTTTGTTTCTGTGACTGTATATGTCCTTATAAACATAGTCATGCAAAAAACATTTTGTGTAGATAATGAAATTGAATGGGTTTGTTTCTATGGCTGTATATGTCCTTATTAACATAGTCATGCAAAAAGCATTTTGTGTAGAAAATGAAATTGAATGGGTTTGTTTCTGTGACTGTATATGTCCTTATAAACATAGTCATGCAAAAAACATTTTGTGTAGATAATGAAATTGAATGGGTTTGTTTCTATGGCTGTATATGTCCTTATTAACATAGTCATGCAAAAAGCATTTTGTGTAGAAAATGAAATTGAATGGGTTTGTTTCTGTGACTGTATATGTCCTTATAAACATAGTCATGCAAAAAACATTTTGTGTAGATAATGAAATTGAATGGGTTTGTTTCTATGGCTGTATATGTCCTTATTAGCATAGTCATGCATAAAGCATTGTATGTAGAAAATGAAATTCAGTAGGTTTCATTGTATGAATACCTAGATGTCATATTTTGATTATTACTGAAGGACTGTTTATAAAACTTTTTTAAAATGCATTTTCACAAGAGTTCCTTGTTGCAAACCTAGTTACCTAGTAGATGATAGACAAACACCTTGACCTAGTAAATAAATGTAACTGACATGCTTGTATCCATATACTGACCTTGATATAGTAAATCAATGTAATTGGAATACTTGAATTCATATACAGACATTGACCTAGTAAATAACTGTAATTGGCATACTTGTATCCATATACTGACCTTGATCTAGTAAATAAATGTAATTGGCTTTCTTGCATCCATATACTGACCTTGACCTGGTAAATAATTGTAATTGGCATCCTTGTATACATATACTGACCTTGACCAGGTAAACAAATGTAATTGGCATGCTTGGCTTGTATCTATATACTAACCATGATCTAATAAATAAATGTAATTGGCATGATTGTTTCCATATACTGACCTTGACCAGGTAAATAAATGTAATTGGCCTGCTTGTATCCATTTACTAACCTTGATCTAGTAAATAAATGTAATTGGGATACTTGAATCCATAACAGACATTGACCTAGTAAATAAATGTAATTGACCTGCTTGTGTCCATATACTGACCTTGATCTAGGAAATAAATGTCTTTGGCATGCTTGTATCCATATACTGACCTTGACCTAGTAAACAAATGTAATTGCCATGCATGTATCCATATACTTGCCATGATCTTGTAAATAAATATTATTGGCCTGCTTGTATCTATATTCTGACCTTGATCTAGTAAACAAATACAATTTGCCTACTCGTATCCATATATTGACCTTGATCTTGTAAAAAAATGTTATTGGCATAGTTTCCCTATAATGACCTTGATCAAGTAAATCAATGTAAATGGCATACTTGTATCCATCTACTGACCTTAATCTTGTAAATAAATGTAATTGGCCGGCTGGTCCTTATCTAGTAAATAAATATAATTTGCCTGCTTGTATCTATATACTGACCTTAATCTAATAAACAAATGTAATTGGCCTGCTTGCATCCATATACTGGCCTTGATTTAGTAAACAAATGTAATGTAATCTTTGCCTAGTAAATAAATATAATTGGCATGCTTGTATCCATACACAGGCCTTGATATAGTAAATAAATGTAATTGGCATGCTTGTATCCATTTACTGTCCTTGATCTAGTAAATAAATATAATTGGCATGCTTGTATCCATCTACTGACCTTGATCTTGTAAATAAATGTTACTGGCATACTTGTATCATTATACTGATCTAGACCTAGTAAAAAAAATGTAATTGGCCTGCTTGCATCCATATACTGACCTTGACCTTATAAATAAATGTAATTGGCATACTTGTATCCATATACTGATCTTGACCTAGTTAATAAATGTTATTGGTATACTTGTATCATATACTGACCCTAATCTAGTAAATCAATGTAATTGCCATGCTTGTAGCCATATACTGACCTTGATCTAGTAAATCAATGTAATTGGTCTGTTTGTATCCATATACTGGTTACCACATTTATATTATAGACTTCTGCTGAATCCCAGACACACTTTTGACCAAATTTGGCATAGAGCATTGAATAAATTTGCTTTAAAAAATAGTATTGTTTCATCATCAAATTTGGCCAGTTTCTAACAATAAATACTTCAAGTTAGAATCTGACTGAATTTTATAGAAAACATCCTCGTATGAAGGACCTTTTCAAGTATCTATAAAAGATGCCTGTTGACATTTAAATATTGCTGCCCTTTCTTTGAAAATAAAAAAAAATATTCAAACAGCAGCAGAAGATGGATCCTATCATCAGTTTTGAGTATGGTTACTACAAAATTAAATGTCTTTAATCAACATGTTTGTGGGGTGGGAGTTGCAAGTCTATTTCTTGTTTAATGGAAACAAAAAAAATCACTCAAAATTTTTAATGTTCTAAAACTTTAACATATGTTGAGCTTTGTTTTTTTTTTTCAAGTCATGTCCAATTTGGCTTCAAATTTCATGACAGTATTCTTGTCTTCCTGTTGCTTGTTAACATCACTTCTCCAGTCTTTTCTTTAGTTTCATAAGGATAGACTGGAAATGGGTAAAAATATATGAAACTATTAATGAGCATTAGATTTTAGGTATCACGGTACCAATTGCTTTTCCATAAACCGCAATGCTAATGTTTTGCAAAATAAATATGCTTTCTATCCTACCTCAGCATGCATGTCACAAACTGTCACAGAGAACAATGTTAGATTGTTAATTTGATAACATCTAAAATAGGTACTCCATTGCATTTAAGAGAGATAACTCTGCTGGAACTAGACAGGGGTAAGAGTTATCTAGTTACACCGGACACATTTTCAGTCATGTGTAGCACATTTTTTAAAAAAAATCTTAAAAATACAAAATGTGATCTAGATATGAATTAACATAATTTCACATGTTGCCAAGAGGCTCAACTTTTTTTAAAGCCTAACAGAAAATAAAACTCTTACATAATGCACCAATCACAGGTAGTTTTTTTTTGTTTATTTCTGAATGCAATGTTCCCTACACCTTAAGCTCCACCCACCTGGGGTTGTACAATTGGTACCGTTATACCTATAGCCAACCTTAATTTTTTCAATAACCTTTGATATAGCTTGGGACTGTACAAGTAACAAATGTCGCTTGTCAGAAACAATTGCAGGAGGTACCTTAGCTGTGTTTTATATTAATGTGTATGAAATTGTCTTTGAACTTTTCCAGCTGCTGTTTTTATATTTGTGCTTTACTAACAAACCATATTTTTTGGAATAAAATGATTTGTTTTAACTATGAGTTGTGTTTTATTCAAATCAACACTTACTGAACTTCAGATGGGTGATATGGGATAAATCACATCATATCATATTATGTAATAATTAGGTCAAAGGTCAATTTACTGAACAGTACATACATCTTCTATTTCATTAAGTACAATTCACCTAAACTAAAGGACTTATCTTTGTTTGGTAGATGCAGAACTTAACACCAGAGACAGGTTGACAGGAACCAAGTTTTTTCTTTATAATTTAGAAATTTTGCAGTATCTTCTTCATAACTTAGAAGATTTACAGTATCTGCTATAACGTAGAACTGTTTTATCGTATCCGCTTTATAATTTAGAAGATATTTCCAATATCTGGTTTACAACTAAGTATTTTGCAATATTTACTTTATACCAGTAACTATACTGTTTTTTATGTATACAGCTGTGCCATGACTCACTCGTGTCACAGTTTGATGGTATGTCACATCAATGTCAAGGTTGTATCTTCAAGGTCACGATTCGATGTTTGCCTTGTCTATGTTGTTGCTCTAATGCTCTTAGAGACATGAAAACTGATTGCTTTTCATGTCTGTCAATAACTTAAACTTTATTACATGTAACAGATTTCGTCATCCTGTAAATTTATTATGCTGGTGGCCTCACCATGCTCGATGTTTCCAATGTGTTTTTAGTAATTTTTCACATCATATGACAGTAAAATTTTTGACCAATTTTTTTTATCAAATCTTACAAAGTATGAACAAGTCAAAGCGTTCTAATCGTCATATATCTTCAGGTATCATCACCCGCGATACATTTTCACCAAAACTTTTGGAGGTGTTTTAACATATGCAGTTCAAAAAGTTTTGAAATAGTTACATCAGTTATTTTATAAATTGTCCATAGTATGAAGATACGCTTTAAAATATACCTTTCTACTGTGAATACATTTCCTATTTACATTATGTTAGGAATAGCAGCCTCCTGCCTCACAATTCCTGCCCTACTAAAAGATAAACAAATCCTTCTTTTCCTATCTGTATCAATAGACAAAGTGCAACAACTCTTGTTTGTTATCCCCCTTTGGCAACGCCAGGTGTTGCTAGTTTTTTCTGTTATAGAGACAACATGTATAGTTCATCCTCCGACAATCCAGCCATGTTTGTGCAACTATGCTTCCAAACAACGTTCATTTTGGATTTATTGGATTTATCAATCTACAGAAGTTGTATTTTACAATTTCTGCCAATTTTTTAGTGACTTTGTCATCTTTCAGGACTTCGTCTTTTAAGACCACTGTCAAACCATGCTATTTTGACCTATTACAAGCTCATTACGAGTTGGTATACTTCTGACGTTGTTCGCTTCTCTGTCAGTTACGGAGCTAATAAATGCTTCATTTTCTCTTCTTGTGTAGTTTCAGGAGATATATTGACTACACGCATGAAATGCATGTTCAAAACTGTTGTCCTTTAGACAGTGAAGGAACGAAATGAAATAAATCAAGGAATGGTAACTGGTTTGTTGTTGGCAATACTGATTTACTAGGGAGTATTCCCGACCACAAGGTGTAAGTCTCCACTCATTTCCGAGCAAGGTCTACGGGCCTATAATCAGTTCGTTTGGGTTTAATACCAGATCCGTTGGATCCAACTCGTAAAACTGCCGACAGGTTACCGGACGTCCTGACACTGCCAGCCGTACCAGCACGGAGACCTTTTCGTTGAAATTGTCAAGACAAATGGAATTTGCAGTGATCTTGATGATAGATTGGTTTGTCTAGTCGGGCCGTAGGCATTTTATCATTACTATACTGGATATTTCAATGATCGCCATACCATGGTCAATACTTTGACGCCTAAGGCCAATCTACTCTTGATAAGACCTGCCGCATGTATGCGATCCAGCTGTCTACAACTTTATCATTCCCTCACTTTTCGGACGACCCGGTGGTGCTAATAAAACGACAATCATCTTATTTCACATCTCTAACATGAAGAATGCTTAAGAAATAAATTAAAAATGTAACAAAGTCAGAAAATCTTGAAACATTGGTCATAGAGACCTACTTTTGTGGTGATGATGTAGAACTTAACAAGACGTGTCCTCAAATAGACATTTCGTGGCTGTATGTGTACAGGGTGCGAAAATACTGAGCTAAATGTTAGAACTGAACCATGTACAAAATAAGTCCCCTCCTTATGCGACAAGAACTGTGGTTTAAATTGTTATCACAACTTTAACAATTTTTCAGTCATATCGATACGATGTCTGCAGTGTGACAGTTTATTGTCATGTCTAACACTGGGGCATCATGCCGCAGACATGTGGCATGATGTCCCACCTAGTCACATGATCCTGACAACAGGTTGACCACTCTTTACACTAACCACTTAATGCTGAGCACCAAGCGAGGAAGCTGTCAGTACTTTTTTTTAAGTCGTTGGTATGACACGACCGGGGTTCGAAACCACGACTTACCACATCTGAGGTGGACGCTCTAACCACTAGGCCACCGGTGCGGTTGTGACAAGAACTGCGAAATCAGATAATGCATGAATGTACAAAGTAAGCAACCTTACTATCCTTCTCATTGGATAGATACTAGGAAACCCACTCTGATCTGTAGACAGAGGACCTGAGAATATAAAATAACTCGGATGTAATGAGGTCATAAGTGTGTAATATTGTTTTATATTTAAGTTACACCATAATAAACGTACTACTAGTCCACATCAAGACATTGTATATGTATGTGTGTGTATATATATATATATATATATATATATATATATATATATATATATATATATATATATATATATATATATATATATATATATATATATGACAGGAAAATTATTTAAATTACAATGATTTAAAAAACTATTTGTATAAAGTTACAATAATCAATAACTACTTACTTCAAATCACCATAATTCACTGCTATTCACTTCAAATTCACTGCTATTCACTTCAAATTACCATAATTCACTGCTATTCACTTCAAATTACCATAATTCACAGCTATTCACTTAAGATTACCACGATGAACTATTCAATTCAGATTCGCATTGGATTACGATAATATACTGCTATTCACTTAAGATCACCGTGATTCATTATTTACTTCTGATTACTACGTTTCGCTTCAGATTACCACGATTCACTATTCACTGCAATTTACCGTGATTCACTACTATTTACTTATAACATAATTGAAAGAGGGTTTTACTATGGACTGTAACATATATATGAAATTGAAATGGCACTTGAATACCAAAAATGTACGGAATGTTCAAGTATTGAACAAAAAGGCAGAACAACAAAAGCTGTTTAAAGTAAAACTGTTACAGTTTCTTAGTCAAAGACTAATATCTGAACAATCAGTCAAGCGTGATATTGTTCCATTATCAACACCATTATTGTTTTAGTTGCACTAGTATTCTATTTACCTATATCATTATCGCATTAGTTGCACCTATTATTAAGCCCTGGTGAATAGTATCTTCTTGATGAAATTTCAATTAATGTAAAAATTACAATTGTTTCAGGTCATGTTATGACATCATACTACACAATCATAACTGTCAAGGAATTCAGTTCCTGCGATGACAAATTTAAACTTGAAATACAATAAAACATGAAACGTTGTTGGAAGGAATATAGAAACAAACAAAACCACAATTCAGAAAGGTATGTAAAATGAGGTGAAACAAATTCGAACTATTGCTGTCGGGAATCGAACGCTATTCATCTGTGTTTCAATTGGGCGCACATACCACTAGACTAAATAGTAATCATGGGCTAATCAATTTAGTGAGTTGCATCATTTAACTGGACCGCCACAGGTATAAGAATAGCTAATGTTAGGACTAAGTTTTCACTAAATTGTATTAAAATAAATTTTTGCTACTCTAGCAATATTTTGTTCTTGTAAGCATTATTTTAATAAAGATTGTGGGTTTTTAAATCAAAATTAAAGAAGAAAAAAAAATTGCATTGCGTAATGCATCTCGTCTTACATTCTAAACGTAGACTCAGTACGAAGATGTAGAGCAAACTAAATTATTTTCTCTCGAGTGTTTCTTGGAAAAGCTGATACGGCAGATTTTTGTCTGATGACCTACACAGACTTAGATTATAGGTCTCACTGGACAGTATTTTTTTTTTTTGTTTGTGGCAAATTTTCATCTGACGATGGCCCATTGCAGAAAAATGATAATAATATTTCATTAATGATACAAATAAAAACTAAATAATGACTTTTGTTGAAAAGAAACTTGTAAGATTCTGACTGAGGTATTAAGGTTAATTCCTTATACAATTAGTGGCTTTTACAATGAACCGATACTCCCACCATCCCCTCTTTTTATATTCATTTTTGACAGAAAATGGCTATTTTGAACATTTTCCTGAGACAAGATGGCTAAACGAACCAGCATGTACCTTATTCATTTTTAAAGTTCACTAGTACTATAACAAATTAACATACCTTTCATCACTCATCAACCATGCAGATTTTTAGATATTTACCTCTGTGGCAGACACATGTAAATGCGTAAGACAAGTCGGCTGCCCATTTTCAACCCAAGTTACGCATTTAATGCTAATCGCACTGTGACAGGCAGTCACCAACAAGCCAACCCATTTTCAAACCTAACTCAATGTAAATGTAAGCCACATAACTCAATTTAAATGTAAGCCACATTACAGATTTAGATTGTGTGTGAATTTATAAATATAAGGGTTATGATAATTAGGCTCATGCCTTCTACTTTAAAAATGGGGGGGGTGAGTTACGAAACTATACCGAGAGACCATAGTCTGTTAGAAATGTAGCGGATCTTTCGAGTTTCTGGTATAGAGCTAAAATGCGCACATTCGATACAACGTATGTCCTTATTTAGTCTCGAGGATACAGCCTATAACTGCGTATAAAGCGAGAAGCCACTGTGCGCAAATTAATTCACTGTCAGAAACTCGGAAGTTTACCTTTCTTAATGGTAAGCAACTATCTATCGTATAATTTTATGTACATTACATATATTTTTAATGTTCAAGATCTTATGGTGAGAATTCAGTCTAAAATTGACATCTTTGCACCATTTTTATATTATTTTGCTATTATGTATTATAATGTCTTATGAATTAGTCTCAAATATTGAATTTTTACATATTTTTGGTTATGTTCAATTTATTTGTTATTTAATTATTTGTATTACATTCGAAAGATAGAAATTAATGAATAATATGAAGTTGGTAGGCTTAAAGGAAAATTGTAATTTAATAGGTGTTTCTTATTAATGAAATGGAAAGTTTATGTAGATGTAATTCTATATCTAGAATGTAATTTTATATGTCAAGGACCTGAATTTTGCTGGAAAATTTCCAGACAAAATAACATGGAAAACATAACTGGGTCAAGAATACGAGTATTGGAGGACAGAAAACATGAAATGACTATCACAAATCCATCAGAGGAATTCGGAAGCTTTTTAAACTTAATCCAGGACTAAAATTGCACCATCTATGAAAAGTCCACTGGCCGCTCTTTTTGTGATTCTATGTATTATGTATTACATTGTATTTCTGTATATTTTTAAACATTTCATAAAATGGATGCATAAAAGAATATAAATCAATCAATCAGCCAATCATTCTCTCTCTCTCTCTCTCTCTCTCTCTCTCTCTCTCTCTCTCTCTCTCTCTCTCTCTCTCTCTCTCTCTCTCTCTCTCTCTCTCTCTCTCTCTCTCTTAATGGGTGAAGACATTTCTTAAGCTATGAGTAAAATCTTGTTCTTAGCAATTAGTGAGAAAAGGTTATGAAAATCTCCTCTTAACACCAATACAGCATTACAGGGATTTGATAGTCATAGGTACGTTAAATAGCTCAGTTTCCTGATTTGTACTTTTACGAAGATTCGACCCATGCCAGTAAACAACAGAATATTCGAAACAGAAAGTGTTCTTATGGCTAAATGTATTCTCTTTTGCTTTTTGTCCTCTAATTCTTTTATCTGATCGAAATATTAATATTTTTCTTCCATTTTTTCTAAGTTCTTGTAACTTTGTTTTCTCTATCTCGCAATGCAACTAACAATTTCAAACTTTCTTTTATTTGTGTAGCTTGCTTTGAGCGTTAATTAGCTTGATAAAAGAGCGCACGTTTTCTTGGTTGTTATTCGTTTTTCTGCCTTGTCAATACCTTCATCAGCAATATTTTTCAGCCCAATATGTTGTATGTTCTCTTTCAGTCTTTCGTCTTCCTATATAATTATTGTAGGATTTAACGATCTGAAATGAAGTCAGATAATGTATCAACGTGCTGCTTTTCGCAGAAATGTTTATATTCCACATATATGTTTGGGTGTTGACAATAGAAAAAGTGCCCTTTATATTCCATACTTCCTTGCAGTGTTGACAATAGGGACACTGCTCTTTATATTCCATACTTCCTTGCAGTGTTGACAATAGGGACACTGCTCTTTATATTCCATACTTCCTTAGCAGAGTGTTGACAATAGGGACACCACTCTTTATATTCCATACTTCCTTGCAGTGTTGACAATAGGGACACTGCTCTTTATATTCCATACTTTCTTGCAGTGTTGACAATAGGGACACTTCTCTTTATATTCCATACTTCCTTGCAGTGTTGACAATAGGGACACTGCACTTTATATTCCATACTTCCTTAGCAGAGTGTTGACAACAGGGACACTGCTCTTTATATTCCATACTTTCTTGCAGTGTTGACAATAGGGACACTTCTCTTTATATTCCATACTTCCTTGCAGTGTTGACAATAGGGACACTGCACTTTATATTCCATACTTCCTTAGCAGAGTGTTGACAACAGGGACACTGCTCTTTATATTCCATACTTCCTTGCAGTGTTGACAATAGGGACACTGCTCTTTATATTCCATACTTCCTTGCAGTGTTGACAATAGGGACACCGCTCATTATATTCCATACTTCCTTAGCAGAGTGTTGACAATAGGGACACCGCTCTTTATATTCCAATACTTCCTTAGCAGAGTGTTGACAACAGGGACACTGCTCTTTATATTCCATACTCCCTTGCAGTGTTGACAATAGGGACACCGCTCTTTATATTCCATACTTTCTTGCAGTGTTGACAATAGGGACACTGCACTTTATATTCCATACTTTCTTAGCAGAATGTTGGGAATAGGGACACTGCTCCTTATATTCCATACTTCCTTGCAGTGTTGACAATAGGGACACCGCTCTTTATATTCCATACTTTCTTGCAGTGTTGACAATAGGGACACCGCTCTTTATATTCCATACTTTCTTGCAGTGTTGACAATAGGGACACCGCTCTTTATATTCCATACTTTCTTGCAGTGTTGACAATAGGGACACTGCTCTTTATGTTCCATACTTCCTTAGCAGAGTGTTGACAACAGGGACACTGCTCTTTATATTCCATACTTCCTTGCAGTGTTGACAATAGGGACACCGCTCTTTATATTCCATACTTTCTTGCAGTG